TGGGGATGGGAATGGGAATGGGAATGGGAATGGGGATGGGGGAATGGGGATGGGCAATGGGGGAAATGGAAATGGGGGAATGGGGAATGGGAATGGGGGAAATGGGGGAAATGGGAATGGAAATTGGGGATTGGGAATGGGGAAATGGGGAAATGGGGATGGTAATGGGGGAAAATGTGAATGAGGAAATGGGGATTGGGGATTGGGGATTGGGAATGGGGGAATCGGGATGGGGGAAAATGGGGAATGGGGAATGGGGTATTGGAATGTGGGGGAATGGAAATGGGGAAAATGGGAATTGGCGGGAATGGGGATTGGGAAATGGGGAAATGGGAATTGGGGATGGGGAATTCGGAAATCGGGGATTGGAAGTGGGAATGGGGATTGGGAAATGGGGAATGGGGGAATTGGGAATTTGGGATTGGGGATGGGGAATGGGGGGAAAGGGGGGGATGTAGGGGGAGGAAAAAGGAGGGAAAAACGGGAAATGGGGATTGGGAATTGGGGAGGAAAAAGGGGGAAATGGGGGAGAAGGAAGGGAAAAAAGGGGAGAAAAGAGGAAAAGGGAAATGGGAAAAAAGGGGAGGAAAAGGGAGAGGAAAGGACGGGAAAGAGGAGAGGGAGGAGGAGGAAGGGGGGGAAAAGAGGGAAAAGGACGAGAAAGGGAAAAAAGGGGGAAAAAGGGATTAAAAAAGGATAAAAAAGGATTAAAAAAGGATAAAAAAGGATAAAAAAGGGCAAACAAAGAGCAGAAATTCGCGGTTCCGCGGGCCCGGCCGGACTCACCCACGCGCTCCTCGTCCTTCCCTGGAAAATGAACAAAAAAAAAAAAAAAAATTCCCGGAATTCCCGGGGCAGGGAAGGGGCGGGGCTGAACCCAAAATGGCCCAAAAATGTCCCCAAATGGCCCCAAAATGGCCCAAAATGGCCCCAAATGTCCCCAAATTGTCCCAAAATGTCCCCAAATGTCCCCAAATGTCCCCAAAATGTCCCCAAATGTCCCAAAATGTCCCCAAATTGTCCCCAAATGTCCCCAAAATGTCCCCAAATTGTCCCAAAATGGCCCCAAATGTCCCCAAATGTCCCCAAATGTCCCCAAAATGTCCCAAAATGTCCCAAAATGTCCCCAAATTGTCCCCAAATGTCCCCAAAATGTCCCCAAATTGTCCCAAAATGGCCCCAAATGGCCCCAAGTGTCCCCAAATGTCCCCAAAATGTCCCAAAATGTCCCAAAATGTCCCCAAATGGCCCCAAAATGTCCCCAAAATGTCCCCAAGTGTCCCCAGGGTCACTCACGATGCTCCTCCAGGCACTGCCCTGCCAGGAAAGAACAAAAAAAATAAAAAATAAAAAAATAAAAAATAAAAAATAAAAAATAAAAAATTAAAAAAAAAGAAAAAAAAGAAAAGGAAAAAGGGAATTGGAAAAGGGAAATAGAATAAAAAAAAATTGAATTGAAATTTAAAAAAAATAAAAGTAATGAGATTAAAGTGAAAAGAATTGAAGTGAAATGAAATAAATAAAATAAAATGAAATAGAATAAAATAAAATAAAATAATATATAAGAGAATAGAAACGAATAGAACAGAATAGAATAGAATAGAATAGAAAAAATAGAAAATAAAACAAAAGATTTTAGAATAGAATAAAATATAAAATAAAATAAAATAAAACAAATTCGAATATAATAGAATGGACTAAAATAAAATATAAAATAAAACAAAATAGAATAGAATAGAATAAAATATAAAATGAAATTAAATGAAATAAAATACGAATAAAATAAAATGCAATACAATAAAATAAAACAAAATAGAATAGACTGGACTAAAATAAAGTAAAAAATAAAATAAAATATAGGAGAACAAATAGAATAAAATAAAATATAAAATAAAAATAAAATAAAATAAACAAAACAAAGTAAAATAAAATAAATTAAAATAAAATAAAA